CTGGGCGGGCGGCTGGGCGGGCGCGCGGCACTCACGTTGTTCTGCAGGTTGGGGGAGCAGCCGGCCAGCAGCAGCTCGCGGCAGCTCTGGTTGTGGCCGTTCTGGCAGCAGAGGTGCAGCGCCGCGAAGCCACCGCAGTTCTTGAGGTGGAGGTGCGCGCGCGCGCGGCCCAGCGCCGCCACGCTGCGGCTGAAGCCCTTCCACGACGCCTCGTGCAGCGCCGTGTTGCCGTGCTGCAACGACACCTCTGCTCCAACCGCGCTCGCACGCGCCTCTGCTCCCAACGCACGCGCCACACGCGCGCCTTCACAACAAGAGCCTTATCGCGTATAACTGATTTGTTTTTCTTAGTGATTCCGGGCGCATCCACCGCAGGTAACGCAGAGGCGAATTCGTAGGGGGCCATAGCCCCTCCCCCCACAACGCCGAGAGTTTTCGTTTGTTACATTCTTTTATTTGACAAAATTGATTTATGTTAGATCTATATTTATTTAATTCTTTCAAAAATAATACTGTACATTATCACACATATACAACAAAAATAATATACAATCTAGTAATAATTGTTTATTATTAAACAAAAATGTATGATGGCCCCCCTTCAAAATGATCGAGTGAATCCGCCACTGGTAAAGCCAGCTAAAGTCCGTAGGATTATACTAGGCGGTATTGACCAGACTGACTGATTGATTGATTCATTGAATGATTAGTGATTCCCGGCGCGTCAACTACTAAGGTAATTGTTCCAGTAAGTGTAGTGCATGTTTGAATTGCGAGTGAGGTCGATTATCTTCCCCCACTATGGCGAGATCCGGCGACGACCCACCTGTCGGGTAGCAGGGTTTTCCCCAAACAGGTATCTTCCACCAGCGGGTCACCGCCCCAGCCGGGACAAGCTCTAGTCTCCCGACATGTGTGGTAGTATAGTGCATGTAAGTGTTCGTGAAAGTAATGGGGTGAGGATACAACAAGGAAGAGGAAGGAAAGATTGCGCGAGGTTCCATGTCCCATTGAAACTGCTACCACGTTCACCTGGTGTCGATCGGAGGAATGACGGAAAACTACCCACCAGAACAGAATAGATCCCTAGAATTCTCATTCAGAGTGACTAAACTCGTCCTAGCTGACAAGCTAGTGTCGAAAATCCTGCCACCATCGTGACTCAAATCCTAGGACTCCGGTCAGAGGCATTGCAGTGACATCAGTTAATGCTCGGAGCCATCCTTGCCGGTAAAGTGTCGCAAGGAAATGCAATAGAACATTCACATGAAAATGCACATCAACTTCAAACGCCTGAATGCATTGCTACTCACCACGCTGTCCTGGTGGTTGACGTCTGCGCCGTGCTGGATGAGCTGCCGCACCACCTCCAGGTGGCCGTCGGCCGCCGCGTGCTGCAGCGCCGTGCACCCCGCCTGCGCACCAACCAGCAACTCTCTCAACACTCAACACGTACTCAACAGAAAGCACTCCATCACTCCTCGACATCTGATTCGAAGGTTCAATTTGGGATTTTTTTTCGTTAAAAAAAATAAAAAAGCCTGTAAGTGGCTTGTGAGAGTAAAATTATAAATTTAATCTGATGTTATTCATACCTTTTACGACTGTTGAGAATTTGAAAATTTCGATTTGAAAATTACACAAGAACAGATAATAATACTCGTATATACGCCAAGTGAGTATTTATTGATTTCGGACATCTCAACTACTGTCGTCACTTTTCCCGGAAGTGTTTCTCCCTGGCTCGACCTGCCTGTTGGCTTGCGGGGTTTTCCTCCTCCAAGTATCTCCTTCAGCGAGGCACTGCACCAGTCCGGAGAAGCTTCAGTTAGCTCCGGAAATTTCTAGTTTATGTGCTTCATGTAAGTGTGTATGTAAGGTAAGAGGCGGGGAGGAGACAAGGCTAGGGAAGGAAATATGAGGGTGTCAGCGCAATAGTGGCCTATCCCCAG